GATACTCAAAAAGGTATGTATGTAGGGATGCCACAGAAGGATATGAACTCCCGCGGCATTTTCCACCCGCATGAAAAAAGAAAAGCTCCAGAGCCGACTATACTCGCCCAGCTTTGACACCTTTCCGTTATCAATCCATCTGGCAATTGAGTTTAATATGATGGTTCAAATACTGTGATTCGTGTAAACTAATCCACTAATATAACGCCGGCCTATCATTCGATAGTAAGAACCCGTTTGAATTGCTATTTTCTGAATTTTTGGGAAAAATGGCAATTCAAACAAGTGCTAACTTAGCGCTTCCCTTGAAAATAAGCTGGGTGCTTAGAAGAAGTGATGGCCTAATGAATATCCCCGGGGCCGCCCCCAGTTAGGTAACAATTGCCGAAGTAGGACTACACAACTTCAAAATACCTTTAAGACGCAACCTCAAGTCTTGGCTTGACTACTCTAGAGGGTCAAAGCAAAATTTTTTAAGTAACAAAATACTTTGTAAACAAAAGAAGTATTTCTGCTAGCAATTTCATCAAGTATTTAGTAATCTAGAGCAGCAGTCGAGACGCTTCGTCTCAACAAAAGTTTTCAGGCCGAAAGCGGGTAAGATCACCAGTCAGGCTAAGCATGAAAGATGAGAGGTTATTATTTATTATCAATAAAAAAATATGCCAGAAACAATGAAAATTTCTTGGTTCCTTCAATGATTGGGAGCTATACTCAGGAATGGTACATGGAGCACCAAACGAATCTAGTATTCGAGAGGCGGATGAGAATATCATTTCAGATATAATTGATCTGCAGCATTCTGGTAGAGAAAATTGAACTCTGAAAAAAAATGATGTTATATTTTTTTGAAGGAAAACGGGGCCAGCGTATCTTTCAATTTGGTTGTGACCCAAAAGAAAAAAGTATCTTTCATTTTGGGAATGACCTTACAAGAAAACTAACCAAAAAATAAAAAATAAAATAAAAATAAATGAGATTGACAAACCGAAGGAATATCTTTAAGCATTAAACTGGAATTCAACATATATAAAGAACAAGAAATTTGGATTCCACGCCAGCAAACCACTGCAATATAGATTGAATGCGACCAAGGAAATCAAAGAACAAAAAATAATCACCCTAAGAGCACACATATATGACCGAATAAAATCCCATGGATGACAGACACCAATATACACTTGCAGCCAATAGGAGGGGAAGACAATATTAAGGGACAAAACCGATATCTTTGAAGTACTCATGCTCAAGTGCTTTCCTTGCGGTGATTCTCTTGCTGGGGTCCAGGCACAGCATTTTCTGAAGCATAAAGAAATCAGCATTAGGAAATCATCATTGCATCAATATCTTTTACCAGAACCTACAATGACAGTTTTCTAAATGCCTACCCAGACTCATAAGCAGAAGCAAGGGCAGTAGAAGATCAAGGAATAATAAACAGATATCAGAGATAGGAAATGCTGAAAGAATACGGCATACACATATTGGCAACACACCTAAACCCTCAGAGCGAGAGCGAGAGCGAGAGAGAGAGAGAGAAAATTGAAGGACATAATCATTCTAAAGCAAAACCTTCAGCATCACGTTAAGCATGAGCCACATAAACATAATAAGAGCATACAGTGTTGTATTAGCAATACTGTTTCATGCCAGGGACAAAATCACAGCAAAAGAATAATGTTTAGCACACAACTAGTTTGTGATCAAACCTCGAGCGCACAACTAGCTTGTGATAAGAGTACCATACAAATGAGAATTAGTGACTCCAGGTTGAAAGTTTTTATAGCCCTGACAAGTGTGTGTTTGCCAGAGTTCAGGACACACAGGACTCTGATGCATCTTTACTTTTGGAGGAGTATTTTGTCCAGTAATAGAACCAGTCTCAGAAAATGGACTTACACGCAGGAGATCAAGACCAGCAGCATCAAGATTGGGAACCACAGTTGCCAGATCCTTTAAGATAGAGGCACCAATTAAGTCTCCCAAAAGTGGAGTCTGTGTGTGTCTGTGTTTGTTTGTGGTTGTCTCTGTGTGCGTGTGTGCGTGTGAGAGAGAGAGAGAGAGAGAGAGATAGAGAAGGTATGGAGTGGCTTGGAAAAAACAAAAACACATAGATGAAACGATATTGATTTGTAATCACCTGTGAAGGCCACTTTGGAAATGCAGACTTAAAATCAGGTAGAGAGGTTACTCCAGGCCAAGTATCCTCATTTGGAGTGCCCATAACTCTGGATGGACAATCAATAATAAGCACAAAAAAAGTCAGGAATATGCCAGAATTTCTTCATCTAAACATAAACTGTAATCCTGAGGCCCCAGGAAACATAGCAATCAAGCTCTTCTGTAGCAAAACAATCAATAAAAATTTCTTGAAACTTTACAAGGGCATATTTTTCCAACTTATCCAAGCAGGCAACTGAAACAATCCATTGAATAACAAGCAGTGAAGATGAGAAGGGAAACCTTGATGGAGAAGATTTAACACCTGAAAATTTTGAAGAGTTCATCTATCTCAGAATCCCCCGGGAACAAAGGCCGCTGGTTCACCATCTCAGCAAATATGCAGCCAACTGACCACACGTCAACAGGAGTAGAATAGTGGCGTGATCCAAGTAGTATTTCTGGTGCCCTGTACCACAGCGTAACAACCTGGGAAGAATAAAACTAATTAAGGCCCAATAAGGGAAAATTTGCTGGTTAGAATCGTCGGTTTAACAGGCATTTGGGAAGATAAAGAACCTATTATAACTTATGACTTAATTCATTAGCAGTATTGTCACAACTTCACAACTTAAAGCCCAAAAACAAAAGTTTCACAACTTGTGTATAAAAGAATACAAGGACTGAAATCAAAACTATGCAAAAACCAGTATTAATTGTGATGGACAGTAGTGAACTGCTAACAATTTTCGGATAGTCAAAGCAACTCTTAAAAAAGCATCAAACTTGTTACTGCTATAAAAGCTTCATGATTTTAAACTCTCTCTTGATACCTACATGAAAGTCATTTCAACTTTGTTGCAAAATTACCATGACTCTGAATTACAATACCTATAATATCTTAAAGAACCCTCTTCATGATTCCTCACCTCATGAGTAAATGTCCTGACAGGAATACCAAAGGCACGGGCCAATCCAAAATCTGCAAGCTTCAGTGCATTAGTACGGCGATCTATGAGCAAGTTTTGTGGTTTCAAGTCTCTATGAAGAACTCTGTGAGAATGGCAATATGCGATACCACGAAGGATTTGATACAGAAACATCTGCAAAAGTAGAACATATAATGGTAAGATGGTGATGAACATTCCACAGAAGTCCACGTTCACTAATCTGAATTATGCAATTCGAGGCAATATTAGTAGGAACTTGATTGAATTTATGTCCCTCTTGAAGACACTCCTTTCTCTGCACAATTATTCCATGCAAGTATGGAACAAAATACAAATAGGATACTGCCTTTGATACAAAAGACCAGTCACATGGAGAAGCATGTGCCCCAACCTGGCAATTTAGCACATCTGAGAGAAAAAACAAAAAGCCGAACCTTATAGAGTACAGATAAGTTTTAAGTTAAAAAACAAATCTAGGGAAGGATTTTGGAATCAGACTGCAGAGAGGGAAACATTCACTTGCACTTGCTTAAACAGTGGTAAGCCAAAAGCCAGAACTTACACATTCAACGGTATTCTTCTCATATTTCCTCTCCCAGAAAGAAAAAATCCATTATCATGGATAATATTCACCAAGTGCAAAGACGGAAGATCTCACTCACTTTTACAAGGCGTGGGTCCTTAGAGAATTCTGGACAGGAATCCATGTGCTTCTTCAAATCCAAGTCCAGATACTCAAATACGAGATATAAGCGCTTCTCGCTGTGCACCACATCCTGCAACCTGTCAGCCAATATTGTAAAGGATCTGCTGAAAAAAGGCTGTGACCGTATTGTGGAAACGAGTTCCAACATGTACAGTATTAAAAAGGTTCAGTAATGGCCTTGAATAGGCATTCCCATCATGCAGTTCTATGTTTGTGTGTGATTGATGGTTGTCACACAGAAAAACATATGATGTAAAAAAATGCATTCTTCTTCCCATTTGAGGCAGCAACAATGAAAAATTACAGAACAGAATTGAAAAATAAGATAAACATCAGATAGCATTAGTTTTGGTGTGTGAATAATGGACACTTAAAAAAAACTTCTGCAGTAAAATTTCAGTTCCTACACTATCATAAAACTTCAGCAAACTGAACAAGTAGAGACTATTTGGTTATACTAACAACATGAACAAGTAAAATTAGAATCTATATTTCATTCCAACCTTGAATCAGCAAATTTGTCCACATTATTCACAAGAGGATCATAATACAAGTACAATGATCCATGTCCATGTCTGAGCTATAATTTTATGAATATGCAACTTTAACAACGAAATTCAATCTGCTAACCTCTCCATCATATGCTAAACATTCTCAAAACAAAGCTATGATATATATGATAGTTATATGTGTACTGAGCCAGCAGACTACCTGACAATGTTTCCATGCTGCATCTCTTTCAAGAGAGAAATTTCTCTAATAGCAGTGCTCGGCACACCTTCATCTTCCTGCTCCAGACGAATCTTCTTCAAAGCAATAGTTTCATTAGTCGACTTGTCACGTGCCTTGTACACCACTCCATACGTTCCTTCCCCTATCTTCTCAACCTTCTCGTACTGCAATTTTTCCCCAAAACTATCACATTCCAACACTAACACGAATCACAAATGAAAAACTGAACAAAACTAATCAAGTAGTTCTTTACCTGGTCCATCTAGTCCACCGCAATCTGACTCACTGACGAAAGAAAGCATTGAAAATTTAGCAATATTCGTATCAGCAACCCACATCATGGTATTAAATGCAGGTGCATTGTACAATATTTTACAACAGAATCTACTACAAAATTCTTCACAGATTTTGCAGAAAACCAGGCAGACACAAAATCAGAATTTTTCAAATTATTAGGACTAGGAAATCCTTTGATCAAATTTAAGCACTTACTCCTTCCCCTGAGTCGAGCATTCGGTGGGCAAGAAATGTCTCGATGTCATACCTGTAAGGCATCAAAAAAGGTTAGAACAAGTCTTACGCATGAAATTGCAGCCTTTTCTTCAGGAATGACAATCTTTACCATGTAACGACAGGGACCAACTTTTCCATAAGCATGTTATGCCTGTTTTGCCTTATTTATGTAAGCATTTCAAATTCAAGCCCAAAAACAGAGTAGAACTGCACACATCTGGTATTTTTCTCCTTTATGGTTTGCCTTATTGATGTAAGCATTCCACAAACTAACAGTTTTGGACACAGTACAGAATTTTCCCTCCTTTACACTGTAAAATGAACTCTCATTCAACTGCAAGTCAAACCTAAGTGGACTTTGACAGAGGTTAATTCATGAGCATTTATTAAATGAGACATTTGATCCAGAAAGATGACTCTAAGACCTGAAGAATTCTTTTCCCATGTTAGGTTTACATCTGGTATATGCAAACAAACTATATGGTTAATTGTTAAAAACACTACCTTATCATACAATCAAGAGGACAAGAAGAAATACATAAACAATTTGAGCCCTTTAAGATCACAAATAGATTTATGTCCTGCCTTTGTGCTTCAAGATCATGCAAAGCATCAATTGCAAAAGCTTACTATTGCGTGCCAACTAGAAAATAGTTTTAGAGAAAACAGGAAAGGTTCAAGAAGTTTCACTTGAAGGAAAGAAAATATCCAAGGAAAAACAGAAAACTGCAAAGGCATGTGTACATTCATAACACACAAATATCCAAGGAAAAGAGCAAACTGTGAAGGCATGTGTACATTCATAACACAAACAACGTGATCACATAGGACAACATAGCAAACTCGCCAAATTAAACTAATTGTGACTCACATTAAATTGACTTGAAATTGAAGGAAACCTTAGCACAAGATAAAATCTACACGCCCTATGAGTAAAGAAAGTATTGATCCAGAAAAAAGAAAACAAGAGAGAAGCTTGGTAACAAGTCCCCTTTCCTTTGACAAGGGGAAAAAGAAAAACTTAGTTTAACGAGCTTACCAAGCCCCATCTTTCGGTGATCTTGCCTCAAATTCCAACTTTGATACATCTGGAACCTCTTCATCTGCTTTCACAAGCCTTCGGTCAAAATCTTTGGAAAAGTACAAACTCATTCTAGCTAGTTGCTGAATAAAGTAATGATAAAATTTTTGACAAATAATGATTGAATTTTTTAACATGATTTGTTAATAAATAGCAGGACTGCAAGTTGGCAAATCAATACGCAAGCTACTAAAAGACGATTTCACTTACAGCACTAAAAGGCAAAGGACTTTGAAAGATGATAACCACAAAGACAATACATGCTGTTGAAGGAACAAGACCACCCTAGCACTTTACAAGCAAGACAACTGAAAAATACAATCAAATCAGAATTTGTCCTCAAATACCTCTGTACCTGATAAACTTCTATATACCTAAGTTCTATACCTAAACATTAGACAACGAAGGGGTAACCAGCTTGACTTGTAAAGGCTTAGGGAACTCGATCTTATCCAACAACATAAAATTCTGTGGATCTACTGAGATCCCCACTTACTCCCTATTCAACCAAATGGATGGCTAACTTTGCATTTAGCACCATGCAAAAATCACTTTCACTTTCTTCAATAAAAAGCAATAAGTAAAAGGAGTGGTAACTATTTTCTCAATTCTACCATTGAGCACTTGCTTCCCAACTTTCTCCATTTATTAAATTCAATTCATAAATCAATCCATGTGTTTCCCACTTCTTATTTAAGCTTCACACATTATTGTTATCCAAGTCCATTTTAAAGCAGTGCCGACTCTAGCTAGGACATCTATTTGGAATAAAGGAGTGAAATACAAGTTATCAGCTTTAAAGCTCTCTCACATTTGTTAGAATATAGTTATTACTTGTTTTACATTGTTAAAATCTATAAGCTAATTGAATATAATAGCTCGCAAAGTTGCATCATACAAGACAGAAAAAATTTTAGTTCATCAACCTGTAACCAGGAAATTTGTCCTCTTATCAGGCCAACCAGATCTAAAGGTGACTTTTTGAGAGAATAAGGTAGTAGGAAAGTACTTGCATGTGAAATAAATGTATTAACCATAAAATCGTGCTTAAATCTCTGGAAATTTGGGTTGGGATTGATCCATGCGCAAACCCTGTTTGTCTATATCCCCACACAAAAGCACAGCATGTTTATAAGAAGCACCTTTTGGCATCTGGGAATTCTCACTCTTCTTGATCAAAGCGCCAGCTTCTGGAGAAGGAGTTAATTTTCTTGCTGCATCAGCTGAAGCATCTTCAGAGAGGTAATTTTGCTGCCTTTTCTGAAACCAATTATGGACCTAAATACACATCCAGTGACATAAGTATTGTTAATATTAACATCAAACGTTATCAGCTTGACCACAAGCCTGTCTGGAAAGAAGCCAGAGCAAGAGTACCTCAATCCACTTTATAACAGGTTTTCCTGCACGACCTTTAGAACGGCTGCAATTTTAGCATGTCAAAGGAAGGAGTAACCATCCAATAAGAAATTCATCAAATTGATCTTTTCCAACAATTAAAAAGCACAAAAAGTTCCTAGATTACTTGAAAAGCCCTGCCAGCTTCTTACAAAAATCCTGGTCGAAAGATCGGTCCGCTGCATCTTTAAGGAAATGCTCCATTCTTTCAGTCTAAATACATCATTTAACATTACAAAGAATCACATAAGACAACTCTTGCCAGAATAGCATGAGGAAATGAAACATAAAAGTGATAATTAACAATGTTAATGCCAAGTCTTTCACACCACAAAAAAAGGGAATGGTAGTAATGTTGGATAGCAAACTTTTTGAAACAACAAAAGTCCACAAGCACTCATTTTCTCAGGCAGAAATCTAGAAACCTGAGAGATTATGACAGGCCTACTAAAGTCATTAGAAAAGAAGAACCACACAAAATCCCCTAATCTACAAACAATCGCATTAGCTTGTTTCCTGATCATCTGGCAATTTTACATGTTTATGACAGCAAGGTAGCAAATTTGGCAAGTATCACACTAGAATCATGCCACGGAATCTTATTCACAACAGAATCTCTGTAGGCCCAACTTCAAGGGATGCTATTCAACAAAGTGGTATTCTTACCTCAAACTGACTGACTGGGGACAAATCTGCTGTAATCTAACAGTACATGACCAATTTCACAGCTGAGAAAGAAATTGAAAACACATGACATATACAAACAGTCTTTACTGGATTCCTCTACAAAGAAAGGAACACACAGACTACATATTCATTCTTGTAACTTGATACTCAAATAAATCTAAACAAACAACAAAAATAAATAGCCACATTAGTTTCGTAAGGAAAATTTTCATGATTCTTTTCCCCTTCCTTTCAATGGATCACCTGTTGGCATGAACAGCCTTTAGATTAATGAGGTACTAAAAAAGTTAACACTTTTAAACTACTTAAAATTTCTCCAATGAGAGACTACAAAAAAAGTTGCACATTTTTCGCATAACATGTAATTGCATAGAAGCAAAATCCATAAATGCAGAGTAAACTAATATTCTAATCAAGGTAATAAGCAGATTAACAAGTGATCAAACATCAGGGCAGGGGTCAATACATTTCAGCAATCAATCATGCTTTCTTCAGAAAAATAAACATCTACACAAATAAATATACACAAACTCAGGCCTCATAAACAAAAATGGAGCTAACTACATAAAACTAGATGATTATCAGAACCTTTTAATGCAAGCCCAGATGAGAAAAACTCAAGATTTTTGGAAAAAGTTTTAGGGGGAAAAAAAGGACCTCATCTTTTGTGAACCCAGAAAAGGGTGTTCTTTGCCTAGGACGAAGATCCATGGAAGGATGTTGTTCCGTCCAGTCAACAGCTGAAAGATTTTACTAGTAGTGACTAAATTTGTAATTGAAGATAACAAATGGCCAAAACCCTAGCCCCCTAAAAAGCTGCATTTGTTGAGAATGAGAGAAGCTTTTTTGCAGGTTCTTTGTACTCAATATGCCACGGGAAATTGGGTTTTGTCCTTTGGGCGCCTTTACAAACATTCATTCATTTCTGATTGTTTCTTTTTCATTTTCTTTTTCTATTAACCAATGGTCAATAAACCAGTAAACACTGAATCGGGTACTCTTACTTTGTTTCTTTTTTTTTAGCTTTTACCCAGTTTTTCATACCTAGGCAAAAAGCATGGGTAGCTTTTACCTAGTTTTTATCCTTTCTTTGAGCTTTATAGCTTTTAGCCTTTGTGTTCACTACTCACATTTGGGTGGTCTGGATTTTGTCACATTATTTCATTAAATGATATAGTACAATTTGTACTACTAAATTTTTTTTTTGACAACTACTCTATTGTATCTTTAAACACCTACTCAAGTTTTGTTCTGTTTTCACGCCTCCGGAGTATCCATAATCCATTTCTTGCCCATGTTTTTTATTCATTTAGGGCAGAAAAAGGGTTCATCAAAAAAACTTTTTCCAATTTGGCAGAAAAAACATTAACTTGAAAATTGAGAGAATTGGGAGAATTACTAAAGAGGAAAAGTTACTAAATTATTGTTGGTTATCATTTGTATCTTGTAGAGACATAATCAACACAAATCATGTTTTCTTTTCTTTTTCTTGACCCAAAAAAATGTCCTTTTTTTTTTAATTTCAAACATTTATCCTTTGTTTGTACCTTTTTTTTAACATTATCTACCCTAACAAGTTATCGGGGCACTTTCTGAATTGTGTTATTTAAGAAAGTTTTTCTCTTTGTGTAATATTAAAAAATTTCCAGAAAGTTAAATTCTTATTGCACAAGTTTCATGGTCAATTGTACAAATCATTAATTCTAACTAAGACAATTTCTTTTTTTTTTTTTTTTGAAGGCATTGAGGGAAAAGTTACCTAAGTAGTTGCATTTTTTTTAAATTTAAGCTGACTCTTAATTAGAGAATTTGAGATTTTGCGGTCATCTTGTTAATATGGTTGCCTCTTGAATTGGGTCCTGATGGACAAAAGAGCACAAACATCCGAAATCAAAACTGACATGGTTGGGCCGAGCCCAAGGAAGGCAAACCCTTGATTTTTTAACCGCGGAGGAATAATAGTCCCACATTTCCCTGGCCCAGAAAAATGAACAGTTGCACTAGGACGCAGCCCCATGGCTTTCATGGCCTACTTGAAATCGCTTGCTCTGGATTTTGTCTTTGTACGGTCTCTTTCTTCCGGTTTAGCTATTACGTGCGTTGATTAATAACTCTTAACATTATATTGTGGATAATTTAAATAATCAATAACTCTTAGAATTCTATTAGAGAATAAGTCTAGCAACAAGACAATTAAACAAAGACGGGACAGAGATAAAATTCGAGACAGATGATTTGAAGTGTTTCGATGGTTGAATGGAGCTCTCTAACCGTTCTGTATTGAGATGGAAGGAAAAAAAAAAAGGAAAATTCTATGGTTGCTTTTGGGTATCATTCTATCAACTTATATCTTCCACTAAAGATAATAATTCAAATGTTAAATGTTTAACAATGTTTAACCTAAGGGTCAATAACACTTATTTCACCGTTCAACGGTGAATTTCACTTGTGGGTAGGATACTAAAAAATGACTATAGAATCTCAAAAAAAAAAAAAAAAGAAGTTAAAATAGTGTAAAAAGTCTTTTTGAAATTTTAATCAACATAACAATTATTCAATTAATGAATGAACTTAAGAGCTACATCTAGAACCCTTTGAATGCGATATTCAGATGACACCAAATTTCCCACTTTTTAAGACTTGATGATCTAGTCGAGAGGACTTGTGCTCCTAGGCAACTTAAGTCCAAAGATGGGGATTGTAGCTAACCACGTTTGTATCATTGTACGTTCCTTCTTGCTAGGATTATTTGACTTTTGCTTTTCAATAAGAGGGACATTCCTGTGTGGAGATTGCATCAACTAATGAAAATTTTCCTCGGTTGTGAGATTAGACTACAGCTTCAAGTTGGAAACCTGAAATCTGATGTATGAGTTCGACATAGTCTTCACATTTGCAAGGTAGAAATGGCTGGTTGATGGTTCATAGCAAGGTCCAAATTTTGGTTGTGCGTGCCTTCCTTCTCACACTGAACTGCAGATATCACCAGTCATATTCAAGAATTTGGGCTGTTCAAAATGGTACTCCGTCGTCAAATGTCGGCTACCAGCTCAACTGTTTAACAATAATTACTAATGTTAGTTTTCAGGCCAGTACATGTTTTTTGATCATCTTTTTACGTCTTCATAAAAACTCTAAAAATAGCAATTGAAACTAGATTAAAAAATAAAGTTGACATGAAACTTGAAGAAAGGATTTGATTCCCAACCTGGGCATGATCCAATATTGATATTGTTGTAACTTTCACATCAACTTAATCTCTTCGTGCACAATTACACGGAAAATTCGATTAATGATGCATTTGACAAAAGCTAAAAGTGATGTGATCGATATTAGCTCCTCACGACCCCAATCACTCGTAATAGATCACAAAAGATCACCTAATTCATCAGAAAGAAAAAAATATGCATTATTGCATGAGCATGAATTGACAATACATGTGATCCAAAATCTAGAAAAAAAAAAGACTAAAGAAAGAACAAGACGAGCAAATGATGTGGAGGGATTGGTAGGTGGAGTAGGACTTAACTTGAGATTTAGTCCAACATGATGCAATCAACTATTTGGCTCGTGCAAGCCACACGACCACTTCTCAATAAAGAATAGCTAACTTGATTGATTTGCATGGGAATGCCTTCGTTGAAAAGAAAAGAATTCACTGTATAGTTCGATATGCTAGTAAAGTTAGACAAACCCATGTTTTTTCTTTTGGTTGTTGTTTCTTTTTTTTCAGATTTAAGAGAGAGAGAGAGAGAGAGAGAGAGAGAGAGAGAGAGAGAAATGAAGAAGAAAGGACGACTTTTGTCAGGTAATTAAGAGACATCTACTGCTATTTGAGGAATGAATCTAAAGACGAAAATGGAGAGAACCAGCAAGAGGTACGTCTAAATAAATGAAGGATCGAGAGTTGAATGTTTTCATGATTTCATCCACCGAAAAAATTAGGTGCTTTTAGGCCACAGGCACCTAACATTTTGGAGGTGGTTGAGCTTTATTTCTTTTAATTTGGGCTGCTGCTTCAGTTCAGATGTTCTTTCTTGGTGACATTTTTGTATTTGATCTGTAGTTTCTATCTCAAACACGTTAGATGTTGTATGTTAAAAAAACTTTCCCGAACTAAATTGTTTTAGTTTGCTTTAATTTCTTTATGTTTAGAAACCAAACTATATATGTAAAGTGACCGTTTTAGGTGGATCTTCATTCAATTCAATCCATGGAAAATGGGGAAAAAAATGGTAGTGTTTTCATTGTGTTCTAAAAGTGGATCTTCATTACTTGACTTTTAATTGTTAATATTACTATTGTATATATGTCCTAATGCACTTTTGGCGTTGAACGAGAGCCCTCTAAATGAAAAGAGAGCAAGCACATAGTATATAAATCAAGAATTTTGCCCTCCTTCCCCCTATTTATTCTTGAAAAAAGAAAATACTTTCTGTCCGAGTTTCTAAGACTCGGAAAATAATTAAGATGAATAAGATACTAATAACTTTCTATATATAAATACGAACCCTATATTAAAAAACAAGTTAAATTTGCTCTATAGAAAGCACGCCTCAATTGTTAAAAAAAAAAAAAAAACTCGTCACTTGCATTCAAACCGCTATCCAAATAATGACACTTAAACATTGATATTACTCCTATACCAAAGAATAAAATTGTACAGAGAGCTCACACAAAATTAATAAAACATTAAAATCGAAATATAGGCATAGGACGTGGGTATTTGATAAATTTTCATCGATTACATTTTTTTTTCTTTCTTTTTTTTTAATTAAGCACACATAGGGAAGATGTGCCAAATTAAGATAGAGAAAGGTTGGATTGCATGGTTAGGTGAGAGGAATTATAAGTAGAAAGCCTTAAATTCAAAGTCTCGGATTTCAAATCTCTAACTTAAAAAAATAAAAAAAATTAGTACTTGGAAAAAAAAAAAGAATAACAAAATAGCAGCAAGTAAAGAAAAGAACAGAAAGAAGAGAGAGAGCTTCCAGTCCCCAGGACTTGGCGGCTAACTAATTTTCACTTCTCATCACATTCTCTATCGATCTCACTGAAAACGTGGAAATCTCTGAATTTCTCTCTCTCCAAATACGCGGAGAACCTGTGTCCACACGTAACTTTCACCATGCTGCTCTCATTCAACGCCAACACCCCCCATTTTCTGGTAATGGACGATATAAATCCCATCAATTCTTTCTCTTTTTATCTTTTAGTTCATATTTGTCGGAAATTTTCAATTTTGACTTAAGCCCACATAGAAAGAGTTCACTTTTTTTTTTTTATATATATAAAAAGTGGGATTGTGTCAAAGCCTTTGCTGTCAAGCATCGCCATTTTATTCTTTGCTGTTGCTTAGAAAAGGTGTGTTCCCTGAGTTTTTTCTGCAAAGGGACAATCTTTATTGTTTTCAAGAAAACTCCGTGTTTTTGTTTGTGGGTTGTTTGTTATTTTTAGGCTTTGTTGTTTTGTTTAGTTTCTGTCATTGGCAGAGAAAGGCATTTGGTTGTTTGATCGGAAGACGAGAGAGAAAGATCAGTGGAGTGATGGAGAGTACATTGAAGGAGATGAGGAATGGGGAATCTGTGCTCGATATGACTGATGAAAGAGGAGTTGGTGGTGGCGTTGGGGATATCTATGGGGAGGATAGAGCCACAGAGGATCAGCTTCTAACCCCCTGGAGTTTTACTATCGCCAGGTTATCCACAAATGTCTGAACTCTTTTACTGTTGCCACGTTATCCAGAAATGTCTGAACTGCTCAGTGTCAAATTCTTATGTAATTTTTGAACTTGCATTAATGAAATTGCTCAGTTGGATTCTTATAACTAGATGTTGGAACCCTTGATTCCGATTACAACATATTCGTAATAATCTTGGTATATGAATAGACTCTTTTGTTTTAATGCTGAATTGCTCATTTG